GAAGTTAAATTATTACTATTTGCAAATGACATGATACTCTATATAGAAGACCCAAAAAACTCCATTAAAAGACTATGAGAGATAATAAACAAATTTGCAGTGTAGCTGGATACAAAGTCAGTACTCAAAAATCAGTAGCATTCCTGTACACAAACAAAAATCTCATCAAGAGAGAAATTACAGAAATATTGCCCTTCACAATAGCATTTAAAAAAATGAAATACTTAGGAATCGACCTAAGAATGTAAAAGACCTATATGCTGAAAACTATGCTACACTAAAAAAGAAGATTGAAGAGGATATTAGAAAATGGAAGGATATTACTTGGTCTTGGATAGGAAGAACCAACATTGTGAAAATGACCATACTCCCAAAACTGTTATACAGATTTAATGCAACTCCAATCAAAATACCATAAACATACCTCACAAATCTAGAGAAAACACACCTAAAATTCATTTGGAAACCGAAGAAACCTAGAATAGCAAAGGCAATTCTTGGCAACAAAGACAAGGCAGGAGTCATCTGAATTCCTGAATTGAAACTATACTACAAAGCCACAGTGATAAAATCAGCATGGTACTAGCAAAGAAATAGACCAAAGGATCAATGAAACAGATTACAAGATGCAAGCACAACTACAAAGACACTCAGCCACTTGATATTTGACAAAGGGGCTAAACATGTTTACTGGAAGAAGGATATCCTCTTTAATAAATGGTGTTGGAAAAATTGGCTCTCCACAAGCTGAAGACTAAAACTAGATCCATGCCTATCACCATGCACAAAACTAAAGTCTAAATGGATCAAAGACCTAAATATTAAAATTGAAACACTAAATCTACTGGAAGACAAGGTAGATAGAAGTCTTGGAGACATAGGAGAAGGCAAAGAATTGATGAACAAAGTGCAACTGTACGGGAAACACTTCAAAGAATCAACAACTGGGATCTCATATTATTGAAAAGTTTCTGCACTTCCAAAGAAATCACCAACAGAGTGAAAAGAAAACCCACAGAACGGGAAAGAATTTTAGCCAGCAACCCCTCAGACAAAGGACTTATATCCAGAACATATAAAGAATTGAAAAACATCAAGCCCCCAAACTCAAAGACCCTCTCCAAAAATGGGCATCTGAGATGAACATACAGTTCTCAGATGAAGATATACAAATGGCAAATAAATACATGAAGAAATGTTCACCATTGTTGGTCATTAGAAAAATGCAAATTAAAACAGCACTGAGATTTCATCTCACTCCAGAAAGAATAGCTGCCATCAAGAAATCAACTGATAACAAATGTTGGCTAGGCTGCAGGGAAAAAGGGACACTTCTCCACTGTTGGTGGGAGTGTAGACTGGTGCAACCACTATGGAAATCAAAATTCTCAGAAGACTAGGATTGGAAGTTCCATTCAATCCAGCTATTCCCCTCCTGGGTATTTTCCCAGAAAAACTGAAAAGGTCATATCACTGATATATGTGCACCCATGTTCATAGCAGCACAATTTATAATAGCTAAATCTTGGAAACAACCAAGATGCCCATTAACCACAGAGTGGATGAAAAAGATGTGGTATTTTTATATAATGGAATATTACTCAGCTATAAAAAGGATGATCTTGAGGCCTATATAGGCAAATGGAGACAACTGAGGCTATCCTCATTAGTGAAAAAAATAAGAATCATATTTATAAATATCACGTTGTATCTCTAGTGTAAAACTTAATAAGAAATGTAGGAGTAACCCAAAATATATAATTGCTATTGTAAAAAAGAGAGGAAAAGAAAGTGCTCTTAAGGATATAACTGCAGGTATGTTTAAGCGTATAGGATTGATAACCACATTACTAAGTTTTTGTTAAATAGTTGAACAGAAGTGTTTGCAGTCTCACTGTTTGAGTGTTCACTTTGTATGCTTCACTTTTGTAACTTGAACATCTATTTGTAAGAGGACAATATGTAATTATCAACTAGTGATTTCTTACTCGTTTTTTTTTTGAAATTACATATTATTTTCACCCTTTTTCTGTTTTGTTTTCCTTTTCTTTAAATAAAAAAAGGTTTATAGCTTGACAGTGCTAATTTTTCATTCTTCAAAAAAAAATTAACACTCTGGAGAAATACAATAGAATCTAGAATTTTAACTACATAACATTTAACAATGTTCAGGATGCAATCTAAATGTTCAACAAATTTAGAAATAAGACTAATTTTCTTTTTTTTTTTTTTTGTCTTTTTCATTTTTATCGGTACCAGGGATCGAACTCACGACCACTTATGCCACTGAGCTAAATCCCCAGCCCCTAAGACTAATTTTCAAAAGACAAGTCCAGGAACCAAGATCAACTCTGAAATGATACAAATGATGCAATTAGCAGACACCGATTTAAAAGCAGATTGTATAGCTTTGTTTATTGAAATAGAAAATATATTAATGAAAACATAAAGGATCGCAATAAAAACTTAGAAGCTATGGAAAAGAATCAAAAGGAATTTCTTACATCAAAAAATGTAACTTTGAAAATAAAAATCTAACTCAATAGACATCACAGTAAATGGAGGGAAAAAAAAAGAACTATTGAACCTACATGTAGGCCAATAGATATTATCCAAACTGAAGTACAGATTTCTTTTAAGATTTAAAAAAAAATATACATAATCAAGTGTGGTGTGGACGCTTATAATCCTAGTACTTTGAGAAACTGAGGCAGAAAGCTAGCAAATTGGTGCTCAGGTTGGTAGCTTAACAACTTAGCAAGACTCTATCTCAATATAAAAAATAAAAAGGGGCTGGTGATGTAGCTCAGTGCAAAGGCCCAAGATTCAATACCCAGTACTGACAGAAAAAGAAAAAGATAGAAGAAATGTGGGATAACAGAAGATTTAAAATACGTATAACCAGATTCCCAAAAGAAAGCAGAGAGCAAATGAAGAGGAAATTATTTTAACTATAATATCCAAAATCTTTGAAATTTTGTGAGATGTAATTTATATACCAAAGATACTCAGAGGGCTACATCCAGAGGAAACCTCTCATCTACACTCAGAGTTCAACTGAGAAAAGCAATAATAAAGAAAAAATATTAAAAATAATCAGAGAAAAATGCCACGTTGTATATGGAAGGAAAACTACTCAAATACACAGCAGTTTCTCAGCAAGAACCATGGCGATCAGAGAACAGGGCTGTGTGTCTAAGGTGCTAAGGAGAAACCCCATTAACTCAAAATCCTATAAACAGTGAAAATATCCTTTCAAGCATAAAGGCATAGCAATTGAAAAGGCATGTTCATACAATAGAAAACTAAAAGAAGCACACCATGACAATTGCCAAAGAAACTTCTATAAAACAAAAGAAAAATGAAACTAAAATCTCAGAGCTTCAGGAAAAAATAAAGAGCTTTAGAAATTGTTACTATGGATAAATATGAAAGACCAATTTTCCCTCTTCAAAAATGCATATTACTATTTAAAGCAAATGTTACTGCATAATCTTTTGGAGTTTATAATATACAGTTGTAATATATTATTGACTAGTAGCATAAAGGGTAGAAAGGGATGGCTAATTGATACATGCTGCATAGTTTCTATATTTTAACATGAACATTCATAAAAATATATATTTATATGTATGTGTGCACATAACACAAAGTGGTCTATCGCAGCAGTTGGAAGGCTGAGGCAGGAGGATTGTCATAAATTCAAGGGCAGCCTGGGTTACATAGTGAGTCCAGGCCAGCCTGAACCACATAGTGAAACTTTGTGTCAAAAAAAAAAAAAAAGAAAAGAAAAACCCTCAAGGGTGTGTAGCTAAAAAGTCAATAGACAAAATGTAACTTTTAAAACTTTTCAAATAAGTAAAAAGGAACAATAGAGGAATGAAAAAGAGAAAACATAACAATTATAAAGTTATGGCTCTGTTTATAACTACATTAAATGACAGTGAACTAAATATTCCAGTTAAAAAGCAGAGACTAAGCTGGGCATGGTGGCACACACCTGTAATCCTAGCACATAAAGACTTCAGGGGGCATATAACTCCCTGGAACTCTTCTGCTGTACCAATATTGATGAATCTACAGCACATGTGCCATAGCCAGCCTTTTGTTATCACTGAAAAAAGCTGTAAAAGTTTCACCATCGGCTTCCTAGCACCTATGAACTGAGTGGCTTTGTTCTTCCAGATCTTTCCACCATTATGTCTCTGCCTTGGAGCCAGTTGACCATGAACTGAACCTCTGAAGTCACAAGCCAAAGATAATTCAAGTGGCTATATTGATATCAGATTAAACGAACCAAAATGACCCATCAGAGAACGAAGCAAGTAAAGTTGCCTGTGCCTTCTGTGGAACTAGTCTACAGTGCAGAAAAAAACCCCAGGCAGAAAAACAGCCATGTTCCCAAAAACTGTTTACCATTATAGGCAAATCTATAGAACCAAGAGAGTTAGGGAAGCATTAATTGCATATGCTAAGGAGTAAATTCATAAACAAATTAATAGTGGCCCAAGAAAAATAAGCAGAAACACTTCTGTTACGAGCACTGAAAAACCAGGCAAAGGTCACCCCAAAAAAGTCTCTTTTAAATCAATAACCAAGCTTTCAATAAAAGTATCAGAAATGGATTCCAAGCCACAGATCAAGTGATCTGATGCCACAGTTGCCAGGGAAAGTAGTGATGTTGGCAGGTGGATGAGAACAGATTTTGCAACTCAGCAGATCCTTGGGTCTCACACTGACTGACAGTGGAACTTAGGTCTGGTAATACTCATTTGCGAATGATTGCTTTCTGTTAAGAAAGACAGTTCGATTCTCATGCATTCTTGGAGGCCATATGCAATTTGAAAGAGGTTCTGTATCTGTCATGCAGGGAAACCTGAGTTGCAGTAGGGAGGGTTAAGGTAGAGAAGGGAATTCTTGGCTCTTATGAATTAAGTATTTGAGTGGTAAGTATTCTTAATTCTTAAGAATTAAGTAGTTTTGTTGGATGCAACACTCACGATGTCACTGTACTCTTCATCCCTCAACTCTTCTTCTTCTGCCCAGAATCTCCTCATGGAAACCCGATTCACAGGGCTGCAAGACAATAGCATTTCCAATCTCATATCTCCATAACTTGTTGTGCAGCAAATAAGAGAGTTTCTCTTTCACAGTAGATAAACAGAAGTCCTACGCCTGACCCTAATCAGTCCAGATAATGGCATGCCCCTGCCTAAGCCGCTTACCTAGGAAATGTAATATTCCAATTTGCCACTTGAATCATATTCCAACTCGTGGAACACATGGTGAAATCAATTATTTAGGCTCCTGTAACAGACTCTCTGGTACCCTGTATCACTTTTTCCATCCACCTCTGATGAGCTGTATCTGTGCTAGAACATTTTGTGCATACCAAACCTCTCCCACTCAAGCACTCCAGGAAGCCAACGTCAATCCATGCAGCAATACTTTTACTTCCTACTCCCCAAAACTTCTACACTCCTTTTGTTGGTTATCTATGCAAGGAAACACTTCCCTGTGGAGAAAGCTCATCTTCTCTTTAACCAAAGAAAAAAATTTTTAATGAATACCAATGTTACCGTGCATACTCTCACATTTTCTGAATCATAGACTAACCCAGATAGATAGATAGGAATATAAAAACTCTCCAGAATGGCAGCATTTTGCTGGTTAAGCACTGGATCACCTCAAAGTCCAAAAAAAAAGAAAGAAAGAAAGAAAAAGAAAGAAAAAAAAAAAAAACGCTCCCAGTGGGAATAGTTCACCAATCAAAACAGGTATTCAGATGCACCAAGATCCAAGATAACACCAGTATTATGAGACTATCAAGTCTCAAATGCTGTCTTGACCCAGGTCTTGGTGTGTACTGTCACAGGCATATGACACTTCTCTCCTTCAGATAAGTTCCACTGAAGTCAACTTACCCAGGTGTCTTAACCATTTTGTAGTCACTGAGATGAAATACTCAACAGCCCAACTTAGTGGAGGAGAAGCTTGTTTTGGCTAAAGTTTATTCCCAGGCATACCTGGCTGGCTCCAGGGAAAAGAGGACAGAGGAGTGTGGTGGAGAAAAGGCACTCCATCTACAACCAGCAAGCAAAGACAGAAGTGAGGATGGAGCCAAAGATGCGAACACCACTTTCCAGGTCACACCCACAGGGACGCATTTCCAACCAGGCCCCACCTCCTGACGCTGGGCTTCTGTGAATCCACAGGTAAGCATAGCAACAAGCAGGATTCGATCGCATTCCACACACGTGAGAATTCCAGGGGACGCTTTAGATTTAAGCAGGAGACTTGGGTTTGATGTGGGGTTGTGGTTTTGGTGTTGGTTTTGCGAGGGGTTGTGGTTTGTAGTTTGGGGGGGTAATTTATGGTGTTTGGTTGGCTTTGTTTTTTGATTTTGTGTTTTGTTTTGCTGTCTTCGGTACTGAGGATTGAAACCATGACCTTCACTCGTAAGCCTCATTCTCAGTCCTTTTCCTTTGTGTTTGTTTGTTTGTTTTGTTACAGGTTCTTCTAAGTTTCTAAATTACCCAGGCAAACCTGAAATTTGTGGTCCTCCTGCCTCAGCTTCCCAGAATGCTGGGATTACAGCTGTGCCTTAGTAAGTTTTACCACAAGCATATATGATGTTTCTTAGGCTGGGGATTTAGCTCAGTGGCATAAGCACCTGCCTTGCAAGCAGGTGGTCGTGAGTTCGTGAGTTCGATCCCTGGTACCAATAAAAAAACAACAACAACAAAAATAAATAAATAAATGATGTTTCTCTCCTCTGGCATTGCCTGATAAGTCATGCCTTAAGGTGAACTTGTGTCAGCACAGAACACACAATTTTCTAACAAGGGTTCCTCAGTAAAAAAAAAAAAAAAATTACTGCATACACAAGAAATATTGTCTGATTCATTGACCCAGCACCTGAAACAAGGGTAAAACCATGTATCTGGTACAAAGATACAATAAATATATGTAAAGTATTTTATTTAACTTATTGATTAGTGAGGGAATTATTAGGACGGTGTAATCAGCCAGGCATGGTGGTACATGCCTACAATCCCTGTGATCTTTATTATCACCTATGAGCATGGGATTCCTAAACTGAACGTCAAGCAAAGTTTCCTGGAAGATTTTCAGGTATCTCCTCTCTCAGTCAAGCACATTTGTTATCCACAAAATGGATGATCATACTAGATTTAATAAATACCATTCTCAAATATGACATTCCAGCAAAGGTTTTGCTGCCTAATCAATCTGTCCAATTATATTCTGGTTTTAAAAAAAGATGGACGACAAATTCTTACTGAACATATCAAACAGTATATTATCCTAAACAGTAATGCGGCTCATACATTGCTTTATTTAATATGAAATAAAGCAGCGTCATTGGACACTCCCCATCCCTCCAATACAGTAAGAGTATTGACAAATTACCAGGAACTTACATAAGCATACAACTTCTTAATTATTTAATTGAACAAATTCAATCTCAATAAAGTGATTCTTCCTCTGATTAAAATTTTTCCCATGCAAATCTCATGATCAGAACACATTAAACAAGCATAATCACCCCGATATCATTTTATACTATTAATAAAAAAATCTTTTGACTTTCAAGAAGTCCTCTGATAAATCTCAAGAATTATATATATTGTGCATACTATGTACTTATATATTTTTACTATGTAGATATACTATGCATATGTCATTCATTTTATACACACACACATAAAGGAACACAATTGTGAAGAAAATAAGCTCTTTCCTAGATGAATTTTTCTTTAAATAAGGACATATAAAATCAATATAAATCACAGAAAATGTTGGACATGGTGGCACATGCCTCTAATCCTAGCATTTAGGAAGGAAGCTGAGACAGAAAGATTGCAGAGAGTTGGAGGCCGACCTACACTACATGGGTGAGTTCCAAACCAGTCCAGACTACATAGTATAAGACCACGGCCCTACACACCCACCATTCAGAAAGCTATTCTGGCAAAATGCTGAAACTTCTATCTAAGCAGATAATACATAAGAATGAAAAACCTTTTCTAATGTGGGCAAAAAATATTAAACAAAAAACCAGTCAACAAAGACCATCAACATTGAACAAACTGTCAAAATTTTAAAACATTGCACACAATTCTTTTCAGATTTGGATGTCATAAACAAAAGTCACTTTCAATGTCTTATATCTTAGAATAGATTGACACTTCAGAAGTCCCTCTTATACTCTCAGCTTCTCATAAGTATACAGTGAAGTTTCCTGGGAGTTGCATGATATGTAATATCACAAACTGAATGCAGGAGATATGAGATGCTAGCTGTGTTCTGCCAGCCAGGTAGAGAACATGGACATTTTATGTAGATATTAATAAAATAACTCTGGCGAGATTTTTTAAAATACTAATTCTATCAATTGTCTCTGGCAAAATTATAGGCTGACTAGGAACCTCTGATAAGGGGAAACTTCTAAGTATATGTAACCTGTGTTTTAAAAGTTTTACACTTGAGATTATATTGTCTAGGCAATAAATTATTTTTTAAAATATGACTCTGAATCTGAGTACCTCTGGTTTCCAGTTAACTATGAAAAATCTCTCTTTTCTCTTTAGAATTTCTTTTTCTTACCTATTTTAGAAATCTTTACATTCATTTTTAGATGTATAAAATTTAATATAGTAGAATGATCATATTCTTACAACTCCACTTCAGTAAAATTTTACTGCAAAATCTTGTGTGACACTAACACACAAATTCTTAATAATATATTATAGATCCAAAGATCCACCTCTGTCTGCCGAGTGCCGCCTCTGGAAGATCCTTTCCTCTGAGCACCCAGCACGGGCAGAGAGACCCAGAGGATGCGCCTCTGCCTGCCAGGTGTCGCCATCAGAAGGCCCTTTCCTCCACACACACAGTGCAGGCCAAGGGACAGAAAAATCCACTTCTGCCTGCTGTGCACTGCCGCCAAAAGGCCAGGTCCTGCAGAAGGCCAGCATGGGCAGAGAGAACCAGCAGGTCTGCCTCAAGGAGCTGCTACCAGAAGGCTCCTTCTTGAAGGCAGCCAGCAGGAGCAGGAACACACAGCCAGCTAAGCCCTGGGCAAGCCATTGGAGGCCCTTGGTCCCATCGGGCAGCCATCACCCACTAGCAGAATCAGACAAACACACGCCTGTGTGTCTGCCAGCATCATGGCTGTCTCAGTGTAGACACACAGGCTAAGAGAAGCAGCCCCACTCCATGCACCCCTGATCATCAGCAAAGCTACAGTGTAGCTGCATAGGTCTGGAGAAGCCTGCTCCATGACCTGCCACCTCCCTGTAAATCTGGAATTAGAGGAATCCAGGTGCCTGTCCCATCTCCCTACACTACCTAGCAGAAGCCAACATAGCAGCCCCAGGCCCCACAACCAGCTTCTTGGAAGGAACCCAGGAGAATCCCAAGACAAAGGAGAAAAAGGCACTCTCAGACCTCTAGCCCAAAAGAATGTCTGGGAGATACAGTTTTAGAAGAAAATGGAAGTCACATACCTGAAATCTCTGAGAGAATAGCAACTAAAGTAAGGAAACAACTTCATGAAATTGTAAATGCAATCAAATCAGAAATAATGTCTCAGGAAAAAGAAATCACAAACATACTAAAAGAATTGTTCAGTAAGTCTAAAGAAGACAGAGACAAAAAAGAGGAACACAGGAAAATAATGGAAACCTTGAATGAATACAGAAACGAATTACGATGCATGAAACAGATTCAAAGAGATATCCAGGAAATTAAAATTTCAATCAAAAGCTGGCAAAACTGCTTGAAGGAGACTGAAGATAGACTTTCAAACCTTGAAGATAGGATTGCAGCTACTGATTGTGAAAGGAAAGATCTCTTAAAAATAACACAGAATCAGGAAACAACTCAATGGCTTCAAGATGAAGTAAAGAAGCATAATTTAAGAGTGATAGATGTTGGTAAAGAAGCAGGGGTCGACATAAATGAAATTAAAAGGATATTCACAGAAGTAATAGAAGAA